CAGTCAGCCAGTTTTCAACATCTGCTGCCACAAGGGCTTTTTTGCTCTTTTCTGAGCAAAATAATGAAAATGATTGCAATTTTTATAAAGTAAAAGGCATGTTCAGTGGTATCATGTCTCAAATAACCCTTTGATCCACAGTCTAACATACTAACTAATAGGCCATGTGAAACTGAAATCATAAATATCAGACCTGCATCTTGTTAAATTATATCAAAGTAAATATTCTGTTAAAGATTTCATTCAGAAAATATAACATTTACTAAAATCACCATGGGGAAAAAGTATTTTAAAGAAAGCAACAACTTATCCTACTTCATAATTATTTATGAAACTAACTGAAATTGTCAGATTATAACTTAAATAAATTGAATTTAAATATGTAAATATAAAATTTGTTTAAGGTTCTGTATTTGTTTTAAAGTAAAAAAAGCAGCAGAAGTTAAAAAAAGAAGCTTTAGACATGTCACAGAATAAAGAAATAAGGACATAACATCACACAAAGGGAAACAAGTACATGTATTTGAACAATGAAATTCTTACAAATTATAAGCAATATAGTTTATAAGTATTGCCATATGGTGAATAATTTTGATAACATTATACTACACAGTAGAAAGCAAGTAATAACTAATATCTCCATCTTATTTCTTGGTAATTTCTTTATATAATACTAGCTTTGAGTTAAAGCACGTAAATTTTAACTTCTTATAAGTAGTAAGAGAATCATTTATTTTTATTAATCTTCTAGATGTGGAATTACACTTAATTTAAATATTTTCAGTCAACTGAATTTTGATAGTTGACATTAAGTTTATGGTCTAAACAAATATTAACATTAAGGGTATCCAACTAATGAATAAATGAAATAAAATTCAAGAGAAACTTAACAGACTGGTTAATAATTTGAATTATTATATTATTGTAGTTTATAATTATTTAGTATATCAAATACTAAACACCTCACTCTTTCATAGTATATAATTCATAACTCAAAATATTTCACATTTTCATAAGTTATATGATACTAAATCTGGTCATGGTCCTATGCCAAGGTGTTACTTTCATATCGGGTTCAATTATGGAAGCTATCTACTATTTCAAGGAATAAATGTATTAAGTCCTATATAATTAATATGTTTTTTACAAATGTCTTTCAAAAAATCTATGAAAAAGTAACTGACAGATATTGGATTTGAACTTTTAATTTGTACAGGAACACACGTTGGCTTTCATTACCTAAGTTATGCTGGCTTACTTGCAAAGAGGGTGAGGGTTTTCCTATATATACTTAATGGTGAAAGTCCATAAATTTAGGACTGAATTTCTCCAAGACAACACCATATAAGAAAAAATGGTTTTTGGATTTAAAGCATAAAAATATTATTTTGAAATATTATTACAGGCATTTTTGGGTGTGATAGTTGCCAAGGTATCCATTTGAGTGTGTTCAAGTTACAACACGACAGTATTTTCTAAACAACAGAGCTGTATTAAAATGTTATGTTAGTATTGTCTAGTATTACATTTTCAACTGACCCAATACAAAATTCTAGATCAGAAAACAGCACTAACAGCGTTTCAATATTTTTTTTATTGTAAGCTACTGCCTATAAGACCTTTTAGACAAAACCATCAGCTCTCAAGTTCATCCGTTACATTTTGTAGCTTATATGTTCATAATTTACTAATTTCAGTATGATTTAACTTCAGCTTAGAAGTACTTATTTCTAAGAACACACAACTTCAAGGTCCCCCAGTAGGACAGCAGTAAGTTTACAGACTTACAATGCAAAAATCTGGGATTCAATTCCCCACAGGGGGACACAGCAGATAGCCCAGTGAGGCTTTGCTCTAAAAAAAAACAAACACAGCTTCAACATATGATACAAAATTAGATATAATATACACATAGATCATATTACCTGAATAATTTTCAAGCTACATTTGTCATGAATAAATAAAGACAGACAGAGGATAGAATATACTGTGGAATATGAGCAAAAACCATATTTATACTCATTAATATATTTATGAAACTAAAACTTTGATCACACACACATACACCTTGATATACATTCTTTTCATTCTATTTGAGTTATGTATACTGTTATATAATTTATCATGCATAATTTGTGGAATATATGAAAAATGATCTTAACATGTAGAACAGCAACCTTATACTTGAAAGTAATGCATGAAAGATTACCTGATTTTCCATCTTCTCCAGGATAGCCAGGTGGGCCAGGAAAGCCACGAGGTCCAGGAGGCCCTATAGGTCCAGGTGTTCCCTTTCCTCCCTTTCATAAATAAACAATGCATATTTACTAAAACAGAGGTCACAGGTTTTACAATTAGAAATCTAATACCATTTTCTGAATCCAGTTAAATTTTAATAATTATGGAGGTTTTAATTTTCGTTTTAGATTTAGTGTATCATAATAGTTTTCAAATCTAAAACACTGAATAGATCCATCTCACTCAAATTGAAAAAAAAGCTATTGAAAAGTATTAAAAATAGAGTGCAAGAGCAATACCTTAGAAATCAATATATTAATATGAAAATACAAAGTTTAACAGAAATCTTAATATTGAAAACTTTGACTATTATTGTGCAAGAAAATAGTGAAATATTCATATTCCGATTAAGTCTTAACAATTATCTTGTTATTAGAATAAGTCAATGCTTCAATTCACTTTCTCTTGTTTTCATCAGTTACAGGCAAACACAATTCTGACCATAAATCATAATGTTTGAGCAGCAATTTTTGTCCATGTGTAGTAACAGAAATTATGTTCTGTAAATTTGTTTATATACCAAACTGATGAAAACAACAGAATAAAGATGAAATGTTGTAGCTTCTAAAAACCCAGAGTTTAAGGTGTTTATCAGTCTTCATCTGAATAATGTGTTCCATTTTTGTCACCTTATTCTAGAAAATATGTTGAGATATTATAGAGAATTCAGAGAAGAGCTACCAACATGATTTTAGGATAGGGTGAAATGTCTTGATATATTTTTGCTGGAGAGAAGAAAAAAATGATTGAGGTTTTTAAAACTACAAGAGATTTGAAATACATAAGTACCAATAATATTTTCAACAAAAGTGAAGGCAGTAAGACTAGAGGACACAAGTTTAAGATATGGAAAACTTAAGAACAACTCAAGTTAAATCAAGTGATACTCTTCTAATAGAGTAGTCAGACTATGAAATAGTATGTCTTCAGGCATGGTAGAAGCTACACAATTTACAGAGTTCAGGAAGAAATTAGGAGGTTACTTTTGTAGACCAGGATTGGATATAAGAAAAAAATGAGTTTCTTTATGTAGCTTAAAGTGGGGTGGTGATAAAAACAGATTAGCCTGGTTAAGCTAAATGGGGCCATGCTTTTCCTTGGAAATGAAATAAAAATTCCATAAGAACACAAAAATACTGCTATGTCACTGTTTGAAAATGAGCTTAAGATGTTTTATATAAAAAACACATCATCTTTTAGGAAAATCTTGCAGCATTCAATGGTAGACTTTGTACAAGGAAAGATTGTGTAGATGGAATTACTTGTTTTATTAATAGCTCTCATCATCTGAAAAAAGTTTAGAAATAAAAAGTGCAGATATAGGTCTATTAATATAAATTGAGTAATGAGTGAGTCTAAAATGTCAGTGAAAAAAAAGACATTTTATAAAGTATACGGCACCAAAGATAGAATATGCTGCAAGTATGAATATAACCATTAAGAGCTAAAAAAGTATGTGTAATTCATAACATGTATGACGACTCTCTTCAGTCAGAAAAGTATTAGATCTTTTTATATGATATGAGAAAACATGCATGCTCAAATGGACACTAAAACATACAGTATTATAGGTTCTTGAGTAAAGATACAGGCTATAAAAGTCTAATTAAGTTTGAACTTGTTAAGCCTAAAATATATTTTGTGTAAAAAAAAAAGGCATGAAACTAAAGTGATAAATAAAATCACTGTAAAGAGCAACAAACCATGCACATAAATAAAAATATTCAATATAAGATAATAACTACATAGCATCAGATGTGATTGCAACTTTTAAAGATGCTGTAACTGTACAAGTTTTAAGTGTGTGTGACTTATTTTATTTGATAAATATATCCACTCTTTATGTTTAAGTGACTTTTAAACACATTACCAAAGAAAGTCCAGGAGGACCTGGTAGTCCCCGAGGTCCAGGATCTCCAGGTATTCCTGGATTTCCTTTCAATCCACGTGGTCCATCAGCACCAGGAAATCCATCCTCTCCTCTGTCCCCCTATGAAATTAGTTAAAAGAACTACATGATACAAAACTTCATAAACAATTTTGTGTTAAGGAAAAACCTTATAAGTACAAATCATAATTAGAAGTATTATGTGAATACAGTTAATTTATACTTAATTATTAAAGGAAAAATTATCATCTCCTCTTAGATTAGTTGAAAGTGCTATATAAAATAACTCTAAGAAGACCTATTGAAGAAAACATTCTATACAAACACAAATTTGGTGAAAGTATCATCTGAATACAAAGCTATATTAAAATGGAGTTATCTAAGAAGGTATGCTATCAACTGGCAGAAAAGATGATACATATACTGTAAACACACACACACATATGTATGTATGAATATGTGTGTGTGTGTATTAAAGAAAGCAATTACTTGAGAAAATGCTTTTCACATCTTTAAATTTGATATTACCAGCTTAGGAGATGCACATATTAAAAGAAGTAACTTGTAATTTACCTGTCCATTATTGCTATTTCAAATCTATTGGTTAAATAATAGCATATATTATACATTTTTCATATTCTCTCTTATGTAAATACACATATAATAAAACTCTTCTACCTGAAAATTTAATCAATTTAATTACTTGTAACATATTTAAAATATATCTGAAGAAAAATGATGTTATCAACTAGTACCTTAAGTCCAGGTGGTCCACGTGCTCCAGGAAATCCATCTCTACCCTAATAATAAAACTATGAATTAAAATCTAAGTTATGAGAAATAGTTACAATATTTGTTGTTCTACTATAATCTAGCAGTTTCCAACTACAGACATACACTAATCCACAGACAGGTTTTTGTTAGTACACAAAACATCCAGTGAAAAAAAAAGTTAGAAATGAGAGGAAAATGAAGAGAAAATTATGTTGTAAAAGTTTAGATTACTGTGAAATCTATAATGAGTACACGTGTTTAGGAATAGCTGAAAATTATTGTTTCCTTCTTAGTTCATTTTAAGATAAGTTAGCCTCATAATTTTCACTTCAAAATTTCTTGAAGAAACTAAATTAGGAAATAACACTTTAGGCTTAGATATCCTTCTAAAGGTCCATAAGTCCTTTTAAAAGATTTTGCCAGTCTTTGAACAGAAAAAAGTTCAAATGCTAAACCTACATGTGAATGTCATTCTTTATGGATGAAATTCTATTACCTATTGCTATAATTTTTATTGATGAAGATTTAAGCAGTATTCCACATCTTTGACAGTTGATAAATGGAAATGAGATCAAACAAGATAACTGCATAAATTCTGAGTTGGTTTAGAAGAATTGAGAAATTTAAAAAATGATAAGGCTCTTGGGCCACATAATATTTCCCCAAGGATTTCTAAGAAGCTTAAAGACTGGATATGTGAGCCACTTACTACTATTTTTTGTAAGTCCTTACAATAGTGGGCAGGTACCAGAGGATTGGATGTATAGCTAATGTAACTTCTCTTTTCTAGGGAGGGAATAAAAATTGTCCCAGTAATTATTAGTCATTAGTCATTAGTCA